GATATTCTGATTCTGATTATGCTGGAGATGTTGACACAAGAAGATCGATGACTGGCTATGTGTTTACTCTTGGAGGTTCTGTTGTAAGTTGGAAGGCAACTTTGCAACCTACAGTGACTTTGTCAACTACGGAAGCAGAGTACATGGCCTTGACAGAAGCTGCGAAGGAGGGAATTTGGTTAAAAGGGCTGGTTAGTGATCTTGGTCTGCATCATGATAAGGCTACAGTGTACTGTGACAGTTTGAGTGCGATTTGTTTAGCCAAGGATCAAGTTCATCATGAGAGAACCAAGCATATTGACGTGAGATATCATTTCTTAAGGAGTGAGAGGAGAATCCAAGTGAAGAAAGTAGGAACTGCTGATAATCTTGCTGATATGTTCACAAAGCCGGTTCCGCAAAGCAAGTTTCAACATTGTTTGGACTTGCTTAACATCAGAAGTTTTTAGTAGCCCTGCGGGGCAACTCTGAGGAAGAGGGGGAGGCCGGGCACAATCAAAGTGCGTCTGAATCTGAAGGATCTGTATGGAGAATTCAAGTCAAGGTGGAGATTTGTTGTAATGCCTTGAATCTGACTCGTTACAACATTCGGAGAAGTCCAACTTCTGAGAAATCCGAATTCCGGAGAAGTCGAGAAATCCGAATTCCGGAGAAGTCGAGAAATCCGATTTCCGGAGAAGTCAAGAAATCCGAATTCTGAGGTGTCCGAACCCCATTCTATTTGGGCTTGTTTAATTATCTGTTAATTCTGTATTTTTGGGCCTAAGTCTGTTAGGGTTTCGCCAAGCACTATTTATATGGGTGCTACCACAAACCCTAGTTGTACTCTGTTCTTGCCTCTCCAAATCAGAAATAAAACTGCTCCCCCTCTTCCCCGTGGACTAGCCAACACAACGTTGGTGAATCACGTTAAATCTGTTGTCGTGTTTTCTAGTTTATATTTTTCTCTTATTCTCGAATTCTGCACAACACTTTTCATCATATTTTTTGTTAAGGCATATACTATATTTTTCCACCACATAATTTTTTACGGAGTATATAGATAAAGAATATAATGAAAAAGTAAATAAATTGTATAGTTAGATAAGTACTCTAGAATTACCCTAATTTCGTATTCAAGCCCTTTCGCAAAACGATGTTGTGATCAATGTCTGAATTGAACCAAGCCAACAACCCAATCCAGCATGCACATAAACCAACATTCGCCATAGATTATACTCAAGTCGGATAACGAAATAACTTAATTAATCAATTCATTCATGTCTTTAATACGGAGTACATTGTTCTTACACATGCATTATGATATTTAATTATGCATTTAATAAAAGCATTATTAAATAAAGAAAACAATTAATTAAAGACAACAATGCATGCCACCTTCCCTCTGATCTCTTCTTCAAGCGATGCTGTTGTTACCCTCTCTGATCACGTCCCCTATACCAAAAAAAACAATTATTTTCACTTCATAACGTATTGAAATGTAAAACGTGGGGCTCGAAATGTGAAAGAAACAAGTTGTGAATAACATATATATTTCGTGATTTGATTTAAAAATAAAGAGAGAAAGAAGCTAGCTAGGAAAAAAGAAATGTGAACAAAAATTAAATTTACTTCCAACAGAACGAGGGCCAGCGTACGTGATTTGGGTCCCTCCTCTCCTCCCCAGAGCCACGCACTTCTCTAGAGAGGGAACCGGAACTCTCTCCAGGGGAGAAGGTCGCCAGAGGAGGAGAGGTAGGAAGAGATTCAGAGTAATGAAGCTCTCCAAAGAGCTCAATCACTGTGGGGCGGCGGACATTGGGGTCGGCTATCGCCTCACGCCACTTCTTCTCGAAGGCGGCCTTCTTCTCCTGGAGGGCCTTCATCTCCCGCATATCCTCCTGGGAACACGTGCCAAAGCCTGCGGCGCCAGCGGCAGCGGCGCGCTGCTTGCGCTTGATTTCGACGGTTTGTTCCTGAAGGGAGAGGACTTCAAGGAACTTTTCCATGGTGTACATGCACCTCTCACTTTGTGCATGTGTGACATTGTTGGTTTTGTTGTTTGGGATGGGGAGGGGAGCTTTAGGGTTGGGGTGAAGAAGCAGTGTATGAGTGGGGTTGCATTTACAGAGAAGGTGAGACGACATGTGAGGGTACCTAAATGACAGAGCTGATTTTTATCATTTCCTCTGTGCGTGTTTCGTGCAAGATTGGTGCAGGTACGGAGCAAGTTGCGATCAAAGCATATACTCCCTCCTGTTCCTTAAATCCTTTTCGCTCTAAACTTTTGAGCACCTCATTAAACGTTTTTACTCCCACCTAAAATATCTGAAATATATTCCATTATGTAGTTTATTGCGGGTAAAAGTTGTTTTAGGGGTATTTTAGACATTTTAGGTGGGATAAATTACCCTATTTTATACTTATTTTTTATTTTTTATAAGATAAGAATAATATTTTTTTGAGAAATTTACCTAAATAGGAGTAAAACATAATGAATTTCCCAATATAGGATCATATGTTTTTATTTCTCAATGTAGGACCTTTGGTCATTATCAAGTAGTCATTATTAAACTAAATGTCCATCATTGTTGGACATTATTTCTTCAACTAGGTCATTATCAAGTCCTATTTAGAGAATAAAAAAGTTTAAGTCCTACATTAGGAAAGTCATTATGTTTTAGTCCTATTTAGTGCAAATTTTACTACTCCGTATTTTTTTAAGGAAAAAGAAATTTATGTAGAAAGTTTTTTTAAAAACTTAAATAAAAATTTAAATAAATAAAAAACAAAAATTCACTAAAAATAATCTCAACTTTTATTTTGTTGCACAAAACAGGTCATTCCGCTAACCCGCTGTTAACAATATAATAATTCATGGTGTAAAAATAAATTAATTTTGGATTGGAGCCAATATTGAATTAACAGAAATAATTTAAGTTCTTAAAAGAGGTAGAATATTATGTCCACATATCTCTTTTTATTGTGCCACATGGGGAGGGTTTTAAAACCCCTACTCTAGTGCAAGCAAATACGGAGTAATAGTTGCCCACCGATGTTGCACGTCATTGGCACGGAACAAAATCAAAGAGTAACATAATTTGATTGTGAGATTATCATCGTAATTTGATATATTTACATTATTAGGACTTCATTTAGTTTGAGGAAATATATTTTCTTGAGAAAAAAAATATCATCTCAACCCATTTTCATTGTTTAATGGAAAACAAACCTCCCATTTTCTTGATTTTTGCTTGTTCATATTGTATAGCATACGTTACGCTTTTTTGTTTGATTAATGTTAGAGATACACGAATTTATACTACACCTTACACACCATCCCATCATAATTCTCCAATTTTTGATCCACGCCAAATGAAATACTCCGTAATAAGTTTAATGAGATTGTACCTTATACATTTTTCCACCACATAATTTTTTATATGGATAAAAAATAAAAGAGAAAAAAATGTATATTTAGATAATTACTCTAGCATTACTCTATTACGGAGTATATTTTACATTCAAGCCCTCTAAAACAATGTTACTATCAATTTCCGAACCAACCCGACCCTAAACATGAACCAACATTCACTATATATAGATCATAAATCAAGTCAGAAAAGGAAATAGCTTAATTATTAAACTTGTTCATGATTCATGTCTTCCATACATTGTTGTTACACATTATGATATTTATATTTAATTAATAAAAACATTATTACAAAATAAAGTAAACACTTAATTAAAGACAATTCATATTTAATTATCAGTCCACACGCAGGCACCACCTCAGCTTCCCTCTCTCTTCTTCAAGCGCTGCGGTTGTTAATTACCCCCTCCAACGTTCCCTATACAAAAAAAAAATTGTTTTCACTTCATGACATTACTCTTTCCATCCAGATTTAATATTCTCATTTGAGATTTATGGTATTCAATGTAATAGTTTGATCATTAATATAGGCATTCAAATAGAAAGATCAAATCTTGAGGAAGGGAGTACTTCATAATTATTTTGGAGAATGGCAAGATTCACAAAAAAAATTGTCACAAAATTCACAAACTCACTATTTGTGAACTTTAATAAAACAAATAAATAATTTAAAATAATTTTAAAATAAAAATTTAAGCTATAAATAATAAGTTTGTGATGATTTTGTATGTGAACTTAACATTGCTCATTATTTTGTCATCTCAATATATGCTGAAAGTAGTCTTTCTTATAAATGCCCACTAAATAAAATTTGTTATGAAGAAATAGGTTTTCACATATTTTAAAAAAACAGCCTTATGAAATGTAAAACATGGGGCGTGAAATGTGAAAGAAACAAGATATCCGACGACATATTTCGTAATATATTTTAGAAAATAAAGAAATAAATAATTAACACAAGGGACAAAACTAAAAAAGAAACGTGAACAAGTTAAATGAATTTTACTTCCACCGGGACGAGGGGCAGCGTGATTTGGGTCCCTCCCCTCCTCACGAGAGTCACTCACTCCTCTGGAGCTCTCTCCAACGGAGAAGGTCGCCAGAGGGGAAGAGGTTGGATCAGCGCGATCATCGCGATCAACGGGGGGAGGAGAAGGAGGAGGTTCATAGTAATGAAGCTCCCCAAAGAGCTCAATCACTGTGGGGCGGCAGACATTGGGGTTGGCTATCGCCTCCCGCCACTTCTTCTCGAAGGCGGCCTTCTTCTCCTGGAGTGCCACCATCTCCTGCATGTCCTCCTGGGAACTAGCGGCGGCGGCGCGCTGCTTGCGCTTGATCTCGAGGAAGACGGTCTGTTCCTGAATGGAGAGGACTTCGAGGAACTCCTCCATTGTGTACACCTCTCTCTCTCTGTTTGACATTGTTGGGGGGTTTGTTGTTTGGGATGGGGAGTGAGGTTTAAGGGTACGTTGGGGTGAAGAAGCAGAGTTGAGTGGGGTTGCATTTATAGAGAAGGGAGACGTGTGAGGGTAGCTAAATGGTGTGTGCAGTGTGCTAGCTAAAGATGGATTGGGTTGGGTCACAGTAGCCGTGTTTTTCTCGTGCACTGCGGCCTGACTGATAAAGGACGTGAAAAGGCGCCGTTAATACTTCTTAACCCTTATGTTTAACCCAGGAAAACGTTACAGTTTGACGGAGTATTTTATTTTCTTCTTTTTCATCTTTCCCGCCACCGATAACACCTTTTTGGTTTTCTTTTTCATTTATTTCCGGGGGCCGTTAGTTACCCCTTTTCCCGCCTCCTTTATGCTTTTCCGGCAGACGTTACAAATTTTTTCGATTAACGGAAATTCATTTTTAACGGCAGATGTCACACTATTTTTTGTTCTTCATTTTCATATTAATTAATCAAAAGCAGGATTAGAGATTTAATGAATAAGATGAAGAAGAATATATAAAGAACTACTCGTATGTCATTTCCTTTGTGCGTGTTTCGTGCAAGATTGGAGCAAGGTTGGTGCAGGTACGGAGCAAGTTGCGATCAAAGCATAACACTCTTCCTAAACTTTCCATTTTCAACCTAAGTAAGGCTAACATAACAATAGAAACATTGACAAATTTAGAGGGTTCGTTGTGATTGAATGAAGAAAAATATGAAGAGCACACTAGTGTAGTAGTGCAACTTAACTTGTCTAAATATAATTAAGGAAAATTTACCTAAATATGACTAAAATATAATGACTATCTCAATATAGGACTATATATTTTTATTTCTCAATGTAAAACAATTGGTCATTATCCATTAGTCATTATTCAAGTAAATTTTCACCATCACTAGACATTATTCCTCCCACTAGACATTATTAAGTATTATTCAGGGAATAAAAAAGTTTAAGTACTACATTAAAAAAAGATTTATGTTTTAGTCCTATTTGGTGCAAATTTCACTATAATTAAACTTGGTGTCTTGGTGTGCATTGAACAACATTGGAGCAAGGTTGGTGCAGATACGGAGCAAGTTGCAATTTCAATAGAAGATGATGGCTTTATGTTGCATGAATCTTAAAAAGAAAGATAAAAGATATTAGAGGACTCTTGTAGATACTCACTCTTCTCCGCACTGATATGAAGAGAGTAAGTTTAATTTCATGTTCTTTTTCATTCATTTGAGGCTCCACTAGAGTTTCCAAACAAGGACTAACTCAAAAAAGCTATGTTCAACAAATCAAAGCCTCGAACTGTTCTGGGGAACTAATTTATGTGGATCGGAGTATAGCATGTGGATATGAATAGATAAATGACGATCTAAGCAGACTCAATTTTTATAAAGAGTGGCACATTATTACTTAATTTACGGGATATAAGATCTTAGCAGATCTGGTTCTCATAAAGATCAAACAGATTCAGTCTTTTACATTTATACTAGTAAAATTGATCGAATTTCCGGTTTTAGACCAATACCAATGACTGTTTGAAATGAAATATGAACACATTTAAGGAAGGATCTATGCAATAAACATTATATATAGACAACACTTACTGATCATACATGAAGAATTAGGCAGATGCATTACTGCCTTGTAAAACTGGCCTCAATATCCTTGTCTGAGAAGATCACGATTCACGCAGATTTAATTCTGCATGTTTTGAATCAAAGTTTTAGTAAATGCCAATAAATAATCTATACTTATAGCTACTTGATGCCCAAAAACTTGTATAAACTTCATTCTGTATAACACAACAACATTTAGTTTTTTCGGTACCGTCCAATTGAAAAAAAAGTGACACAAACACTTGTATAATAACTATTCAATCTTCTTCACATCTTCATGAATCATGATGCTTGAAAATTTCTTACTCTTCTTCATTAATCAAAGCACAACACTCTTCCTAAACTTTCAATTTTGAGACTAAGGCTATTATACAACAGAAACATTGACAAATTTCACAAAATTTATGCAAAATGAAATGGAAAGAAATCTTATCGCAGAAATCTGTTCATAAGAATACAAACAAATAACATCAAACCAATCAGCAATACATACACATAACCCTAAAATCTCAGGACCTCAAATTAAACATTCTAAACCCTAAATTCATTTGCAACACAATCTCAACAAATCAAACATGCAAAAGGAAAGGCATCTAACTGAAAATAATCACGAATCGAGAGGATATATAATCAACTTACTCTGAAGATCTTGTCGATGATCGAAGAATACGTCACTTCCTTCTTCAGATCGGGAGATTAATTTTTGGATTTGTTTTCTGGCGAAATACTAGCGAGAAGTAAACTATTACGCCCGGCCCATAGGGCCGAACACAAACAATTGGATTAGTCTAATTCTGTCTTACCAAATTCCGTCCACACTTAACTTGAAAATACCTACCCTGCCCATGGCCCATATAAGGTTCCTAGTTTTGTGGTTATTAAAAAAAAGATGGGTCGTTGAGATTTCTTTTCTTTCTTACCACTAACTTGAATTTTGTAAACGGAGTATTTTAGATTTTTTTTAATTCTTAAAATACACTTCAATTTCAACTTTTATTTATTTGGATTTTGTTCAATTTGATTGATGAAATAGAATTGGATGTTAGATGGTGTTGAAAAGTTAGAAGAAATTGAAAAAAAATTAGAAGCTGTGTATTGTATTCTGAGGTCATGCTAAGGGTATACCAAAACGGTGTACCTCATTCGATACCAGCCAAATACAGACACCTCGTGTCTAAAATCTACAGACACGCGGTATATGTGTTTGCCTAGTGTACAAATGAGGTACACTATTTTGGTATACTCCTAACTTTATAGTTATATTTCTTTTTCCTAAATAAGTTGTGTTAAGGGTACGCGAAATAATATATTCCATTTTGACACCAACAATATTTACCATACATTTTTTTTTAATTTATTGATTGGTGTTGAGGTACACTTCGGTACATTTTTTGTGCCCCCTAGTATTTTTGTCCTAAATACACAATGCGTTACAAAATTCACAACAAAAAACATTAATCTGTCATGGATTTTTGTCACTATCCGCCCGTGACAGCGTTTGTCACGACTTTTGTCATTGTTTGCTACAAAACTTTGTACGATTAATAAAATTAATTTGTGTCAAGGTCACGTCATCGCAATTGTCGTGACAAAAGGATGGCGTTAGATTTCATGACAACAGCCATGACAAATGAGTATTTGAAAAATGATATTTTAAATCTTTTTATTTGTCACTACCAATGTTGTCAGAAACGCTATGATAAAAGTATCTATAACTAACGTTGTTAGTTTGTCACTGATTTATCACTGCCAATGTTGTGACGATGGTCGTGACAAGACGAATTATAATTAGTGTTGTCAAATTGTCAAGGAGTTCACTTTGACAAAGGCAACGACAAAAAAGACACGTGTTTGGCTGTAATTAGTATTGCCAGTTTGTCACGACGTTTTCCGTGATATAATCCGTGACTATACACAGTTACACATCATATATAAAACACGCACCTCACCAATTTCCATCTCACTCACCAATTGTACCATCTCCTTCTTCGTTGACACTCAACTCCACGTACGTTCCCGATGCAATCCCTCATAATCGCCGGTCGTTTACCGTCAACTCTAGTTCATCGTCGTTGATCTCTCTCAACTTTTAGAGGCAAGTTTTTCTTTGTACTTCTTTCTTTAAGGGGTCTATGTGTTGGTTCTTGAAGTTCTTTTTTCTAGTTGTGATTGGCGAAGTTAGTGATGTTAAGATTCCACTCGAATTCTTGATACTTGACACAAGTTCTCCTATCAAGGGTATAATAGACTTAACTTATCAAACATATTAGAGACTACGAATGATATGATTGTTCATTTTTTATGATGGGGCGCTATTAGCATCAATATTCAAAGTAGTTCAAATGATAAATGAATTTGACATATCCCTCATTCTCGATAATAAAAATGAGTACGTGAGTTCCCATTTTTTTATGCCAAGCATATGTAAATGTAGGTGTTGATCAGATGACGATTGGATAATAATTAAATTTTTGAATGAAATCCCAAACCATATAATGGTTTTTGAAAAAAAGAGTATTTGTTGTGCTTTTGAGAAACTTTGACCAAATATCTAGATTGTATAATGGGATAAGATAAATCTTTGAAGAACTACGAAATAACATTATGGATACAATTGTGGTTTCAGAAATTGATTCAGAAAAAATGTTTAAATATCTAGAATGAATTTGGTACCATCTGATCCAAGACTACCCTTGAAGTTTTAGAAAAGACAATTTCTAATAGTTTTATATTTTGCTATGACTATTAGCAAAAACTTACGTCAAACATTATCATTTGTTAATTTTTTTAAATAACTTGGTGTTCACATATGGTCAATTTTATGTTATTATTTCACGTGTGAAAAAATAGAGACAATGTTAAAATTATTAGTTCTAGATGATCTGATAATAAAATTGTTACAACCACACCAAAAATATTGTATACCCGGATGTCGATCAAAAAATATATGGATTTTAAAAAAATTGAAGTGTTCATTTTTGAATTTATATATAAGACTTTTAATTTAAAAAAATTAAACGCTAAATTATTTATTTTACTTTGATTTTAATGTATATATTGTTAAAGAACGCATCACATATATTTTTCACATAGTCATTTAAAAATATTATATTAAATATAGTTTAGAGAATCGACAAAAATATCATGTAACACCATGCGTCATACGAGTTAAAATACTCACTAGTTAAAACAATAGTTGCCGAGAGATATTACACATAACTTGCACGGAACAAAATAAAAAATTAACCAAATTTGATTGTGAGACTATCATCCTAATTTAATAAATTTACATAATTACAGCTTCTTTTGATTGGAGGAAATGTATTTTCTGAAGAAAAAATATTTTGTCATCACATTTTTCGTTGTTTAATAGAAAAATATATTTCCCGAGAAAAATTATTATTTTGCTATCATAGATAAAGAATATGATGAAAAAGTAAATAAAAATGTATTCAAGCCCTCCGGCAAAACAATGTTGTGATCAAATGATACTCTCCATATTTATGCTGGTAAAAGTTTCTGTATAAAAACAAATAATTAAAAAGAGTTTTGCAAAGATCAGAAGATCGAGACGGCAAAGAATCAATGAACAACCCGGCCAGTCCAACACATATAGTAGATTATACTCAAGTCAGAAAAGGAAATAACTTCATTAAACAATTCAATTCATTAATGTCTTTAATGCATTGTTCTTAATTACAGATTATGATATTTAATTATATTTAATAAAAGCAGTATTAAATAAAGAAAACAATTAATTAAAGACGACAATGCATGCCACCTTCCCTCTGATCTCCTCTTCAAGCGCTGCTGTTGTTACCCCCTCTGATTATCACGTCCCCTATGCCAAAAAAAATAAAACAATTATTTTCACTTCATATATAATGTATTAAAATGTAAAACGTGGGGCTTGAAATGTGAAAAAAAACAAGTTGTGGATCACCTACATATTTCGTGCTTTGATTTAAAAAAAAATAAAGAGAAAGAAATTTATGTGAACAAATTAAAATAAATTTACCTCCAGCAGAACGAGGCCGCGGGCCGGCATCATGGGTGGCCCGGAGGGTGTGCAAAGTGGCCAACCGCACAGGACACCTTAAAATTTAGGGCACCATATTTTTAAATTTGTTAATAATTTTAAAACAAAAGTATTATAAAAATATAAAATAGGGCACAAAATATAAATTTCAGATCGGGCCAATTTTATTTTTTCGTTTTTCGGGGCCGGCCCTGGCCGGCATGATTTGGGCCCCCCTCCTCTGCTCCTCAGAGCCATGCACTTCTCTAGGGGAGAAGATCGCCGGAGGGGGAGGTAGAAACAGCACGGTCAACGGCGGAAGGAGGGGAGGGAGGAGGAAGAGGTTCAGAGTGATGAAGCTCCCCAAAGAGCTCAATCACTGTGGGGCGGCACACATTGGGGTCGGCTATCGCCTCCCGCCACTTCTTCTCGAAGGCGGCCTTCTTCTCCTGGAGTGCCTTCATCTCCCGCATGTCCTCCTCGGAACACACGCTTGAGCCTGTGGCGGCGCGCTGCTTGCGCTTGATCTCGAGGAAGACGGTCTGTTGCTGAAGGGAGAGGACTTCGAGGAACTCCTCCATGGTGTACACCTCTCCCTCTCTTTGTGACATCGTTGGATGGGTTTGTTTGAAAATGTGTGTAGTTTAGGAATTGGAGGGAGTTTTTGGGGGTGAAGATATGATGTGAAGCACAGCGAGGGTGGGGATGCATTTATAGCGATGCGGGGTTGGATGACGTGCTTTTTTGCTTCCCTCCATCCGAATTAATAATCTATGTGTTCCTGTATTTTTTCATTCAATAAAATAATACTCGCTCCGTCTCAAAAAGATTGGTACATATTGACTTTTTAGAAAATTAAGGGAAAAAATATTTTGGTGTTGACTTTCCAAAAATACCTTTGATGTGATGGGTAAAAGTAGGATGTGATGGGTAGATTATTAAGAAAAAGGTAGGATGTGATAGGTAGGGTATGAAAAAGTGAGAGATAAAAGTAGTTTTTTAATAGAAATGTAACGAACTTTACGGGACGCAGTTTTTTCGAAACGTGTCAGACTTTTTGGGACGGAGAAAGTATATCATTATTGGTTTTATAAAATTTTTTTATCAATTATTTGATAAAATATAATAGTTGTGAATATGTAGTTCTTATTTTTTTCTATACTTATTTATAAATAAAATCTTGTTAAAACAGATAAGATGTTACATATTGTTTGAAAAAACGATTAATTGGAAACAGATGGAGTATTTATTTATTCATTCACGATTTATTTATTTATTTGTATTAGATTTTCATCAAACACACTAAAAAAATAATTTCATTGGAATCATTAATTTTTTGAACTGATTAGGTATCATTAATTTTTTGAACGGAACTCCGTAGGGGGACAGTGACTTCCGTGGTAACTGGAATCTAGTGGCCACGGAATCTAGCCGTTATTATTATTATTATTATTATTATTATTATTATTATTATTATTATTATTATTATTATTATATTATTATTATTATTATTATTATATTATTATTATTATTATTATTATTATTATTATTATTATTACAATCATCATCGTCATTATCATCATCTAGCACAATGATTTTCCGTTTTATCTTTTTTTCAGTTTGGGCTGCAGGAATCACGTTTTGTTTTCTTTTCATTCTTTACAGCGGACGTTACATTTTTTATTTGGTTTTTTCTGCTTCGTTGTTACGTTGGTTTTCACTTGTTGTTTTTCTTCATTTATTACGGAATGGCATTACACTTTGGTTCGTTTTACTTTTTCATATACAGAGTAGGGATGGCAATTCAATCCGAACCCGAGCTTAACCGACCCGACCGAGCACTAAAATATCCGAACCCGAACCGAGAATAAAATAATCCGAACCCAATCCGAATTTTTTTACCCGAACCCGACTTCGGGTCGGGTCGGGTGTGGGTTTATAATTTTACCCGACCCGACCCGAACCCGCACCCGACTCAAACCCGAATATTTAATAACATAAAAGCCTATCCATGGATATAATTAGCACTTAGTATAATCTCTTGACAAAGTGCTACTAAATCAAGTATGGTTTTTTAATCATTTTTTATAATTCTTAATAATAAATGAGACACAAAAAAGAGACACAAAAAAAATTAGATTTAATCCTTTTAAAATTATTGGGGTACGTCGAATTGATTATTGATTAAAAGTCGGGTTCGGGTCGGGTTTGGGTTTTGGATTGAAATGCCGGGTTCGGGTCGGGTCGGGTTTTTGACTTAGGATGTCGGGTTTCGGGTCGGGTTCGGGTTTCGGTTTTAAAAGTCGGGTCGGGTTCGGGTATAGTATTATCCGACCCGAACCCGACCCGTTGCCATCCCTAATACGGAGTATTAGGCATTGGAACGTGAAAGATGCAATCAGAACCAGATCGTTTTTTTCTCTTCTTTATCATTTTTTCCCGCCGCCCGTTACACCTTTTTCGCACTCTTTTTCATTTCTTTACGGCTGCCGTTACACCTTTTTCACGTTAATTTTTGCTTTTCCGGCAGACGTTACAATTGTTTTCCGATTTCTTTTATTTTTCCGGCAGACATCAACTTTTCTTTTGAGGTCTTTCTTCATTTTTACAGCAGATGAAGAATGTTGTCATCAATTATACCAGAGGTATAATATACCTGCATGTTTTAAATAATTAAAATCAAGATTAGTGGTTTAATGATTAAGATAAAGAAGAATAAAGAACTACTTGTATGTCATTTCCTCTGTGCGTGTTTCGTGCAAGATCGGAGCAAGGTTGGTGCAGATACGGAGCAAGTTTGAATTAATTAAAAGCAGGATTAGTGATTTAGATAAAGGCCCCCAACTGGAGAACAAATTCATACAAAGTATTGAACATGATTTTGTGAATACATGAATAAATATCTAAGTGGACTCAATTTTCATAAAGATTCATTTACACACATATAATTCATAAAGATCAAATGCAGATCTAGTTGTTATAAAGATCAAATGCAGATCTAGTTCATATAAAGATCAAATGCAGATTTAGTCTTTCCCTTTTAGTTCTTCATATTTCCATAACCGATAACTGGTTATATTTCTGCATGTTTGGTTTGTAACCATAAACGCTCAATTCATATACCACAAAAATCTATTCAATCTACTTCACACTATCAAAGTTTACACTCTTCAAAAAAAATTCCATTTCAAAAAAAGCTAAAAGGCTAACATACAATAGAAACCCTGACAAATTTACCAAAATGACATGGTAAAGAAATCTTACCACAGAGATCTGTTCATAAGAATACAAACAGATAACATCAAAGCAATCAGCAATAGATACACATAACCCTAAAATCTCAGGACCTCAAATCCAACATTCTAAACCCTAAATTCATTTGCAACACAATCTGTACAAATCAAACACACAAAAGGAAAATCATCTAACTGATAATAATCACGAATCGAGAGGATAATCAACTTACTCTGAAGATCTTGTCGATGATCGAAGAATACGTTACTTCCTTCTTCAGATCGGGAGATTAAGCTTTGGATTTGTTTTCTGGCGAAATACTAGCGAGAAGGAAGTTATACCCCGGCCCATAGGGCCCGAAAACAAACAAATGGATTAGTCTAATTCCGTCCTACCAAATACCGTCCGCACTTGAAAATACCTACCCGGCCCATAGCCCATGTAAGGTTCCCTATTTTGTGGTTATTTAAAAAAAGATGGGTCGTTAAGAGTTTTTTTTTAGTAATTTATTTAAATAGGACCAAAACATAATGATTTTTCGGGTAAATTTCACTAATGGTACCTGAATTTTGGCTGGAATTTCGAAGTGGTACCTAACCTTCAAATCTTTTCAAAAAAATCCCTGAACTTACACAATCCTTTCACTAAAATTCCATTTGTCCGTTTCTAGGTTAACTTCCGGTTATTTAGGCCAAATTAGAATTTTATATATTTTAAAATTTTCAAATTGACCCGATTTCTTTTTTTCTTTCTTACCCACCCACTTCTGCACACCGCCGTCGTCGCACCACGAATCGGATTTCGGCCCCGTCGGATTTCGGCCTCCAGGGACGGCGCCGCCGCCTCCCTCTTCATCGCCGCTCTCTTCCACCCTTCCTTCTCCATTTCCGCCCCTCTCAACAGAGCTTCCAAAGTGGAAAGATTGGATTTTTAATGGGGGAATTGAAAAGGCAGCTAGCTAGCGAGGGCCACTGGGGAACAAAAGAGAATGGATCGCCGCGCTCTGAACCAAGAAATGAGGTTGGTGATGGGAACCAAAGATTTGATTTTTCTGAAGCGATAGAAATACGGGAGGCTCTGAACAAGAATACAGAGCTGGAAGCTCTGTGAGAGGGGCAGAAATGGAGAAGGGTGGAAGAGTGCGGTGTTAGAGAGGGAGGCGGCGGCGGCGTACCTGGAGGCCGAAATCCGACAGGTGCAGGGAGGAGAAAAGGGGGCGGCGGCGGCAGAGTCGTGGTGCGACGACGGCGGCGAGAGGACGGCGGGGTGCAGGAGTGGAAGGGGAAGGAAAGAAAAAAAGAAGTTGGGTCAAATTGAAAATTTTAAAATATTTAAAATTCTAATTTGATCCAAATGACCGGAAGTTAACCTGGAAATGGGTAAATGGACTTTTAGTGAAAAGATTGTGTAAGTTTAGGGATTTTTTTGAAAGGATTTGAAGTTTAGGTACCACTTCGAAATTGCAGCTAAAGTTCAGGTACTACTGGTGAAATTCACCCTGATTTTTCCAATATAGGACTATATGTTTTTATTTCTCAATGTAGGACTTTTGGTCATTATGAATTAGTCATTATTCAAGTAAATGTCCATCATTACTGGACATTATTCCTCCCACTAAGACATTAATAAGTCTTATTTAGGGAATAAAAAAGTTTAAGTTCTAGATTAGGAAAGTCATTATGTTTTAATCCTATTTAGTGCAAATTTCACTTTTTTTTCATTCTTTCTTGTAACTTGACATTTTGTAAACGGAGTGTTTTAGATTTTTGTTTTTCTAAATTCTTAAAATACACTTCAATTTCTTCTTTTATTTATTTGGATTTTGTTTTATTTGATTGATGAAGTAGAATTGGATGTCACATGGCGTTGAAAAAATAAAAGAATTTGAAAATAAATTGGAAGCCGTGTATTGTATTTCGAGGTCATGCTAAGGGTACACCAAAACGGTGTACCTCATTCGATATCAGCCAATACAGACACCTCATGTCTAAGATCCACATTTTTGCCTAGTGTACAAATGAGGTACACAATTTTGATGTACTCCTAATTTTATTAGTTGTATAGCACGATGCCTATCAAAAAATATACTCCCTCCGTCCTAAAATTAACTTTCCATTTGACTTTTCACGGTCTCCAATGCGGCACTTTGACCATTAATATCTCTATTTTTATATGAATATATATTATCAAAATAATATATTTCAAAACTATGTTTCAAAATGAATCTATTGATACTAAATTTATATGAAAATTCAATATATTTTTCCCGTAATATGCAGTCAAAGTTTAAAAACTTTGACTGCAAAAGTCAAAATGGGAAATTAATTTTAGAACGGAGGGAGTATGAATTTAAAAAAATTTGAAGTGTTCACTTTTGAAGTATTAAATGCTAAATTATTTATTTTACTTTGATTTTAATGTAAATATTGTTGAAGAACACATTACATATATTTTTTCATAAATTCATTGTAAAATATTATATTAAAGATAGACAGATAGTTTAGAGAATCGGAAAAAAAATCATTAAGATCAAGCGTCGTACGAGTCAAAATACTACTCCGTAGTTAAAACAATAGTTGCCTAGGGATGCTGCACGTAACTTGCACGGAACAAAATCAAAGATTAACCAAATTTTATTGTGAGACTATTGATCATCGTAATTCCATAAATTTAAATTATTAAGGCTTCGATCATTTGGTTGGAGGAAATATATCTTCTAAAGAAAATATATTTTGTCATCACACTTTGGTTGTTTAATAGAAAAATAAATTTCCCCAGGAAAATTATACTCCGTATTATTTTGCTATGACAAATTGCCGCACATAACACGAACATTAAAAAGAGTTTTGCAAAGAAGAGACCGCAATAAATCAGTGAACAACCGAATCCAACACATGCACGAACATTCACTATAGATTATACTACTCAAGTCAGAAAAGGAAATAGCTTAATTAAACAATTCATTCATGTCTACCATATATATATGTTCTTACACATTATGATATTTAATTATATTTAATAAAAGCATTGTTATAGGAGTATAAAGAAAACAATCAATTAAAGACAGTGCCACCTTACCTCTGATCTCTACTTCAAGCGCTGTTGTTGTTACCACCTCTGATCACGTCCCCTATACCCAAAAAAAATAAAACAATTATTTTCACTTCATAACATATTAAAATGTAAAACGTGGGGCTCGAAATGTGAAAGAAACAAAATGTGGATCAAAGTGATGTCCTCCCGGGAACAGACGCTGGAATTTGAGGCGCCAGCAGCGGGCTCGCTTGATTTCGAGGAAGACGGTCTGTTCCTGAAGGGAGAGGACTTCAAGGAACTCTTCCATGGTGTACACCTCTCTCTCTCTGTGACATTGTTGGGGTTTGTTTGAAAATGTATGTAATTTTAGGAACGGGAGGGAGCTTTTGGGGTCAAGATTTGAAGCACAGTGTGGGTGGGGATGCATTTATAGCGATGCTGGGTTGGATGACGTGTTTTTTTACTTCCTCTGTGTTTCGTGCAAGATTGGAGCAAGGTTAGTGCAGATACGGAGCAAGTTGTGATTTCTACAGAAGAGGATGACTTTATGTTGCATGAATCTTAAAAAGAAAGATAAAAGATATTAGAGGACTCTTGTAAGATACTCATTCTTCTTCACCCAAATATGAAGATAGTAAGTTTAATTTCATGTTCTTTTTCATTCATTTGAGGCTCCACTAGTGTTTCCAAACAAGGACTAACTCAAAATACCTATGTTGATCAAATCACCAAATTTAGATCAAAGCCCCCAACTGGCTTGGGGAATTAATTTATATGGATCCGAGTATAGTATGTGATATTAATAGATAAATGACGATCTAAGCGGACTCAATTTTTATAGACACATTACTTAATTTACGGGATATAAGATCTTAGCAGATCTGGTTCTCATAAAGACCAAATAGATTCAGTCTTTTATATTCATAATAAACAGTAGCAAAATTGATCAAATTGTCGGATTTAGACCAATACCAATGACTGTTTTTAATTTGGAATGAAATATGAACACATTTAAGGAAGGATCTATGCAATAAGCATTATATATAGACAATACTTACTTATCAATTATCATACATGGAGATTTAAGCAGATGCAGTTAGTATCTTGCAAAACTGGCCTCAACATCCTTGTCTGAGAAGATCAGGATTCACACAGATTTAATCCTGCATGTTTCGAATCATTATGCTTGATAATTACACAAACGCCTTTATAATAACTATTCAATCTTCTTCACATCTTCATGAATCATTATGCATGATAATTTCTTACTCTTCTTCATTAATCAAAGCATAACACTCTTCCTAAACTTTCCATTTTCAGACTAAGGCTATAGAAACATTGACAGATTTCACAAAATTTATGCAAAATGAAATGATAAAGAAATCTTATTATCACAGAGATCTGTTCATAAGAATACAAACAGATAACATTAAAGCAATCAGCAATAGAGACACATAACCCAAATATCTCAGGACCTCAAATCCAACATTCTAAACCCTAAATCCATTTGAAACACAATCTTTACAAATCAAACGCACAAAAGGAAAAGCATCTAACTGATAATAATCAGGAGTATAGCGGAGAATCAATTTACTCTGAAGGATCTTGTCGATGGATCTGTGACAAAATAGGACAGAAAAGTTAGAACAAAACGAGTGTCGACCTCTTACACAAACATATGAACACAAAAACGAGAAGATCGAATTCATTCCGTTTCGAGATCCGGAGATTGAATACATCTGCTCGTTCTGCATCTGAGATTTTTGTTTTTTTGTTCGACCATGCTACACTTACACCAAACATTTCGAAGGTTTGCACTATACAAGTGTTTGTCCATAAAAATTCATACGGATATAAATGTTGGTGCGTTTAACAAAAATTAGTTTAACAAACTGCGGGGTACAAAACTTGGGGTACACATAGCATAATCCTTTTTTGTTTCCAGACACTCGGAGGCAATAGAGATGATCTTCAATGCGCCCGGCCCATAAGGCAATTACCCAACAATGGGACCAGACTATAGAAAATTGTCAAAACATGAAAAAATCTACCTGGCCCAATACCCATCTACTGTTCCTAGTTTAGATGTTACTTTGTATTTCCTCAGTTCCTCTTTTGTAAAAGGGCTTCACATTTAGAAACTTAGAAGTACTCGGGTAATATAGATGACTAGATGAGATAGAAATTATAATGGCTACAAAATTCTTTTCCAAAATTAGAAACTGAAACTTTTTTTCAAACTTGTAAAAAATGATATATGAAAGTTCTATCAATACGAGTAGTTTTTTTAACATGCCAAAGCTCAAAGGAGTATAAACTACTTCCCAAAAAGATTTACCCCTTTCAAAAAAATTGCGTCCTGCAATCAATTACCCATTTCTATTAAAAACCACTTTTACTCCTTACTTTTTTAAACTCTACCTATCACATCATACCGTTTTCCTTATAATCTACACATCACATCCTACTTTTACACATCAAATCAAGGTTGTTTTTGGAAAGTCAACACAAAATTATCCCTCCCTTAATTTCCAATTTAGTCAAAATGTGTAAAATTTTTTAGGACGGAGGAAGTATAAATTAACATAAATATAGGTACTCCCTAATACACCACTTATTTTTAAAGGGCAATGTTTGGATATTCTATTTATATACCAAAGTATTTATCAATATATACAAATACTTAGGGGCTGTTTGGCAACTTCTGAATCGGTAAGTGCTGAACCAGTAAGAGGTCTGAACCATTAAGTGCTGAACCAGTAAGAGGTCTGAACCATTAAGAGTTAGTATATTGCTTAACTATTCAGAGGCAAATGTCTGATCAATTCAGATAAGAGGTCTTAACCATTCAGACTCTGTATAATACTTAACCATTCAGAGGCAAATCTCTTAACCATTCAGACATCTGAACCATTAAGAGGCTAAAACAAACAGTCTGAACCATTAAGTACTGAACCATTCAGACATCTGAACCATTAAGAGACTGAAACAAACAGCCCCTTAATGTCTGTAAGTAGAATTCTTGATATACAAATGGGGACATGGGGTACATTACTTTGTCTAAAATAGAGTTCAGAAAAAAAAAAAAAGAGAGTTGTGAATTTGTGATTGGGTAAAGAAAAATATGAAGAGCACTCGAGCGCAAGCTCTTGGATGGTTCTCGATCGTGGCAACAATCTAGTTTCAGCCATATCTTGTGTAAATTAAACCTGGTGTGGACACAACTAATCCAAACATTATTTTCACTTTATCTAATCATTTTTACTATTTATTTCATAAAATAATATATCCCATCTTTAAATGATTTGCATATTTTAATACTTGAAAATTGTGGAAACTTTTGTTTATTTGTGTGATTTCATTGACTATTTGATGAAACAAAATATTTTTATCACTTCTTGTTTTGTAAAATTTTTAATGTACTTTTTAATATGTAAATTTTATTTTTTTATTTAAATATCAATCTTTGAGTAAAATTAATTAAAAAAATTTAGGACTTTTCTTTCGTTTTGCATAAAGGGTAAATAATTTAGGGACGAAGGGAGTACTACAATTTTGTCACCTCTCTTTTTAATGTTGATTTTTATATATACTTCGTTTTATTTTTTTAAATTGTGTATCTATAATCAAATAAATTGAATTAAAATTAAAGTCGGTCAAGTTTTCTTCGAAAGATTGAAAGATTTTTTTAACTAATTAAAAAGATGGGAAAACAATGAGGCGGTATTTGATAAAACGAACTACTTACAGATAAAGTCAGTATCAACTTTCTATTTATGCTAGTAGTATTTTTCTTTATTTTTTCGATGTTGGAACTCTCACACTCTCCCTCAAGTGGTAACTAGTCCGGCCTAACTAACGATTGGGTAAACAGGTCTAGAATCTTAATTTCCTCTAAGTGGTCCTATACAACGTGACGGGCGATGACATCTCAATCTCTTATAATCATCAACTCAACCCAAATCACGGATGAGGAAGAATAAAAGAAAAAAAGAAGGGTAGAAAAACGTGAACTAAGGCAATGACAATATTCTTAGTTAATATTATTATATTATAGATAATCTATAATGTTAAAAAATTATATAAAATGTTGATATACTAATTTAAAATAGAGTAAAATTCCCAAAATAGTAATAAGGGGTTTTCCCAAATTAGTCCTCAATAAATTTTAATTACATACATAGTTCTCTATAATTGAGATTTATTCCCAAAATACTCCTCTGTAATAAGGTATTTTTCCAAATCAGTCCTTAATAAGTTTTAATTACCTATGTGGTCATCTATAATTGAGATTTATTCCCAAGATGGTTTTTCGTAAATAATGTTACTGAAATGAGGATTAATTGAGAGTATTTTTTCTATGCTAAATTTAGAATTATTTCTTAAAATAATCATTTATATTTTACAATGAAGTGTTTTCCCAAAATAGTTTTTCTAATTAAAGATGTGTATTTGATTTGAAATTTAAAAGATTTTTTTAATTTTTAAATAATTCATAAATTATTTATGAATAAATTCTAAAAATGGTCATTCGTAATAAGGGGTTTTCCCAAATCAGTCCTCAAATTAGGATTAATTGGGAGATATTTTGGTATTTTGATCATCTAAATTTAAAATATATTCTCGAAACAATCATTTCTATATAACTAAATGTAAAATTTAAAAAATACATTGTTTATAAATAATTCATGAATTATTAAAACTTAAAAAAATCTTTTAAATTTCAAATCAAATACACATCTTCAATTAGAAAAAACCATTTTGGGAAAGAACTTCATTATAAATGATTATTTTAAGAATTAATTCTAAATTTAGCGGATAAAAAAAATACCATCAATTAATCCTCATTTGAGTAATTTTATTTACGAAGGACCATCACGGGAATAAATCTCAATTATAGAGGACCACGTAGGTAATTAAAACTTATTGAGGACTTATTTGGGAAAATACATTATTACAAAGGACTATTTTGGGAATAAATCTCAATTATAGAGGACCACGTAGGTAATTAAAAACTTTTTGAGGACTAATTTGGAAAAACCCCTTATTACAAAGGACTATTTTGTGAATTTACTCTTTAAAATATTATTTCCAAACAATAGTTACGACCCACAGATGTTGCACCTAACTTGCACGGAACCAAATCAAAGGTTAATCATAATTTAAGTGTGACTATCATCAAAATTTACATTATTAAGAGTTCCATTTGATTGGAGAATATATATTTTTCAAAAAAATTATTGTCTAGAGCAGACAAATTAAATATTTTCTCATCGCATTTTTTATTTTTTTAATTGAAATATATTTTCTAAAATTCTTTTAGTCTCTTATAGTTTTTCCATTTTATATCAACATTTAACTTCTTTTCGAACCTAATATGTATACTCGAAGTTAGTGAAACTATTAGGCCCGAGTAGACTGAATTGGGGAATGAATTTTATGTCTAAGTGGGACTCAATTTTAATTTTATAAAGACACTTATTACTCGTATTTATTTTAAAAGGCCAGTAAGCATATCATAAAGATCAAATGCAAATGCATCTTTTCTGTTTATGATTAGATTCTCTTCTTTTCAGTTGAAATTATAAATTTAGATCTTAAAAAAATTAGAAAGGTTAGAAAAAATTGAAAAAAGTTAGAAAAATACTACTCCGTAAAAGAGTTGAAAACAATCTGAAAATAGTTGAACTTTGGAAAGGATAAAATTTTAAAAAAACAATCAATTGAATTATCACTCAAGGAATTCGTTCATGTTCGTATTTGAGATATTATGTTATAAATTTGGATATGTGATGTTATTGTATTATTATCATATGTAAATATAATTTTTAAATCGTTGTTAAAAAAACTGGAAAAAGTTAGAAAAAACAAAAAAATTGTGAATGAACTAGAAAAAAGTTAGTAAAATAATTATTTTAACCGAAAAGAATGAAGTGTACAACGTAAATTCTACTTCATTTGTCTCACAAAACCTCTCTTTTTTTCATCTGTCCCAAAAACTCGTTCACATTTCTATTAAAATATCATTTTTAAACTCTACTAATTTTTAACCTACTTACCACATCACAATTTTTTCAAAATTAATCTATACATTAAAAAATTAATGCTAAAATATACTCTATTTAATTTAAAAGTCAAACACAAAAATATTTTGTTGAATGGAGGGAGCAGGGAGTAGAACATTTCCCACCCGTTTCATCATTTGAAGAAGGAAACCTGGCTGTTGCATTTTTCAAACGTGTTTAAGATTTTCATCTTGCCGTAATCGTAAACATATGTTTAGACTACTAAGAAAACCCAAGTCAAATAGGGGATGTAGCTCAAATGATAGAGCGCTCGCTTTGCATGCGAGAGGCACGGGGTTCGATCCCCCGCATCTCCAATCTTCTTTACTTTCAAATAAAAAAATGGTTCTTTCATTTTACATTCTTTTTTTCAAACAAACTAAAAGTTTTAAGGATTATGTTGCTTGTTGATTAACACAAATTTTAATACTTGTTTTTTCTAGAATTTAGAGTGGGATAAGGTTAACTAGATTGGACAATAAAATACTTGGGCTAAATCACATTAAAAGATTGAATCCAATCGATTATTTAGTTTAACTCAAGAGCTTATATACCGATTATTTTTACTCTTAAACTTTTGATATGAGATGCACTCTAACACTCCTCTCACAAGTGGACAACCGGGTCATTTTGAATCTAATCGGTGGACCACTTGCAAATGGACTATAGGTAGTAGGTATAGACTTCCAAACAAACAATCATGTTAAACGGGCCACAGGACTAACGACTATCAGGCTACATATTCCATACTCCACGCGGACAACAAGGCTGAAGACTAACGAGCCGCTATGAATGAACGTCTAAACGCACACCTTCAAAAATGAGGTGTGCCAAAAATGGATTGGGTAATAAGACATTGAGCTAAACCACATTAAAAGATTAAATCCAATCAATTAGTTAATTTAACTCATGAGATTATATACCGATTATTTTTACTCTTGGACTTTCGGTGCGGGATGCACTCTAACAGTTTTTTGAATATTTTTTGCTAATTAACTAAAAAATAAAAGTTCTTTACCCCGATGTATATACATGTATACGGAGTATATAAAAAAAATTTGAATATTTTTTGCTAATTAGCTAAAAAATGAAAGTTCCGATGTATATACATATATAAAAGAATGTATGATTATCTATATTATTTCAAAAATTAATTATATGTACGTATGTTGTTTGTTGATTTTTTTGCTATTTTTATGTACGTATGTTGTTCTTAAAACTGTATTTTAATGTTTGTCCCAAAAAACAGTTTTTGTAAATAGTCATTTTAGAAAACACTATAAAAAAGTTGTATAGTAACACTAAAAAGTTGTCCTAAAAAATTTTCACTACAAGCTCTGAAGAGAAACAACTTTAAAAATTAAATTTATAAAAATATTTATACAATTTGGGTACAAATATAGTTTAATAAAAAGTTTTACAAAATTTTTTATGCACTTCGTGTGTAACAAAATAGGAAGAAGTAATTTTGAAAAAACCATATTTCTTTTTACAAAAATTATGGAGTATAGTTTCTTAAAATAATGTTTTGTAGATTTTTTTTTTTGAAAAAACAAATGTCTAGTTCGTTTTATTTTATATAACTTGTTTATTACATATGTTAGAAAATTTAGATTTTCTATTCAAGAGGGAAAAAAGAGGGGGAGGAGGGGACATGCTGGGAGAGAAATCAAAACAATAAAAATATTGATTATATTTCTTGAATCAGAGGAGAATATTGGTGATGAAAGCTGATGTGTAATACTCCGTATCTTTTTAGATTATATGTGGTGATATAAACTAATATTCATATGTAATTATGCTTGGAACTTTTATCGGATCGATTAAGAATTTAATTATGATCGTAATGTTATTGTTGTGGATTATTATAGGTTTAAATTTTTATTATTTGGATGCATGCATGAGATTTTCATTATTTAATTTGTTCCACATTAGTTAATTAAATACTCCCTCCGACCAAAAAAGATTAGTACATATTGACTTTTTGGGAAATTAAGGGAGAGATATTTTGGTGTTGACTTTCCAAAAATACTCTTGATGTGATGAGTAAAAGTAGGATGTGATGGGTAGCTTATTAAGAAAAAGGTATGATGTGATAGGTAGGGTATGAAAAAATAAGGAGTAAAAATGGTTTTTTAATAGAAATGTAACAGATTTTACGGGACGCAGTTTTTTCGAAACGTGTCAGACTTTTTGGGACGGAGGGAGTATTTTGTAACTTATAAAATAAAATCATGGGTGCAAAATGCACCCGTGTAATTTTTTTTTAAACAATTGAAATTTATCACGACACAAGGGCATGACAAAATTTTGTCAAAGGCGTTTCTCTGTAACATGCTAATTCTGTGACGACAATGTTTGTCACAGCTCTTAAATCGGTGACAAATAATTTGTCACCTCATTCGACATGAAAAATGTTGATTACTTCTTTTTACTAGCTCACTAGCTCTCATATGGTGGTGAAGCTTGGAAGGTTTCTTGCCACTACGTTTACAAGTGTTAGCTTCCACGAACAAGTGCTGGTATTTATTTTGACACAACCAAATTGTTGCATAAACTATAAGCAAAAACACATTGTCAAACACACCAAATTAAGGGACTAAATTAAGGAGTAACATTTTATCCAAGTAGAAGTTCAAAAGCAGCTTATGTACTTCGTTCCCAGTGGTCGGAAATTTGTCCCTATCGGGCCCACTCTTTCTGGTTGTCTAGGGCGAAGCGGGCTGTTGTGGCGCTTCGGGCGGCCCACGTGGTGTTGTTTCAGCGCCGGATAAGGTTGCTCCGGTCTGGTCTAGATAATCATCACCGGGCCTGACTGGCGGGTTCGCGTCGAAGTCCGGTACAAAAGGTGACTCCGGCACAGCTGTGGGATCGGTGGGAGTGGTTATCGGCGGTGTTACTATCGGCGGCGCTGACTCAAATGCGTCCTTGTGCTGACCTCTATGTAGGACTGGGAAAATTTTGGGTCGGCGAGATATTACCGACATGGATGAAATTCTAAGCATTTTTTCAATTTGCCGATCACTCTTTCACGACTCCGGCCGGGTTACAATTCCCTACAACATAACTGGCTTTATAAAGCATCATAATAAATGTCATTTCCTAATCAAAATAAAGTTTACGTTTTTATTTTGTAAATTAAAAAAACATTTAATGGCATTACAGATATGATTTTTGTAGAAAATAATAAGAGGGAAAATATTCTGTATATTCAATTGTTCTGTTTGGTTACAAGGAGTTTCTTCTTTATTTATAGGAGAGGATGATTCCAAAATAGACAAGGAATACAAATCCTACAAGGAAACAAATCATAATCAAACTAGGAAACAAATAAATCAAGATCAATCCTAATTAGAATGGGATTCGGTCATCAAAGGATTTGGACTTCTCAAGTTTGGATTTCTCGTAATTCGGACCTCTCGGAATTCAGATCTCTCGGAATCCGGATTCCTCGGAAGTCGGACTTCTCCGGATCCGGAGAAGTCCGGATCCGGACTTCTCAGTCCCAATACCCCCCCTCAAGCTGGAGCATGCGGATTCTGGATGCCCAGCTTGGACAGTAAATGAGAAAACGGAGCGGAAGCCAAAGCCTTTGTAAAGAGATCTGCCGGTTGATCATTGGTGGAGATGTGGCGAGTACACAAAACACCTCATTGGATTTCGTCACGTACAAAGTGGCAATCAATCTCAATGTGTTTTGTACGTTCATGGAAGACCGGATTAGCGGCAATATGAAGAGCTGCCTGATTATCACAAAACAACCGCATGGGCTGTTTGTGACGCACACCAAGGGAGAAGAGAAGGGATTTCAGCCATTTGAGTTCACAAACAGTAGTTGCCATGGCCTTGTATTCAGCTTCAGCCGAAGAACGGGAAACTACACTTTGTTTCTTTGTACGCCACGATACCGGGGAATCGCCAAGAGTGATAAAATATCCAGTAACAGAACGCCGAGTCAAGGGACACCCAGCCCAATCAGAGTCACAGAAA